CCTATTCAAACATTTTTATTAAAAAGAAAAATAATAAAAGAATATTATTTTTAAATATTCAAAAAGCAATAAGGGTTTTTTTTTTTTTCTTATAATAAATTTCCGAACAATAATTATTTTCCTCTACTTGTCTTCACCAGTAATTTACTTGTCCTTTTCTTTACTCTTTTATTCTCTTCTTTTTTTTCTACTCCTGCTTTTGCGCGCTAAAGAGAATTCCCAAACACGGTGTAACCATTGACCTTCCCCTGGCTCGAGTCTTCTTCCTTCTACTAGTCTTATCTCCTCAAATCGAGACAAAGGCCAGTCATGTAATAATACCAGAGGCTCAGCAACGCTGCGTATTCAATCTAGCTGGCTATATCCTGTCCTATTTGGAAACTGACCTTAGAGGCGAGAAGTAGAATAGTATTTGACGAAATGGTTCGGGGAGTTCTACTCGATGTAATGACTTTTATCTTCAATTTTCTTTCCTGGTATGTAATTTTTTCTTTTTTTAACTCCCCATTGATCGATGACGAATCCATCCCATTGTTTGTTTCTAATTTTCCTTCCTGGTATTCCAGTGCCATTTATTTTCTCTTGTGTTTTGTTTGTGATGTAATTTATTGGAGTTAACCAGTTTCTTTTGATGTTCTTCAGGACGCCATTTACTCTGTTTTATCCACTGTAAGTAGCTAGGTCTCCGTCTCTTATAGCTTCTCTAGACTGATTTTGTGCTTGACAGATGATTCGCTATTTCCGCCGCATTTAACTAAAATTAGGGTCTTAGCAGGTATGCTTCTATTCAGGTAATGGAGAGTGGCTCTGTCGCCAGAAGTCAACAATGTCTTGCTTACTGGGTTCTGTTTGCTGCTGTCACGATTTTGGAATTGGAGCTCTGCAAGCTTTTCAAATGGTAATTTGTCTTAAGCTCGGTAATTTTTTCTTATTGGGACTTAAGTGATTGTTTCCTTTTTAGCTAAAATTTCAAAGTTGATTGGGTTTTCATTGTACGTACCATGTAAATTTGAGTGTGATAATGCAGAATCAAAGATGCTGAATTGAGTGCTTAATATGCTAAAATTTTCTTAGGCTATATTCAGAACAACCTAGAAATTTTGTGGAAATAATTTGTAAATATAGATTTAGTTTAACTAAAAGATGGTAAATGAAAATATTTAACCATACTAACTCCATATGAAGATTTTGTCATCCTAATATAATATACTTCCTCTCTTAATTAAATTAAGTGTGTTTGCAAATGAATTATACGAAATTTTGGGGTTGTTCAAATATAGACTTAAAAATTTTTGTCACTTGATGCTCTTATCTGCAACAGGTTTTCTTTCTGGCCTTATGCAAAGGGGGTCGGGACTCTTCTGTTGGTGATACCTTACTTCCGCGGTGCTTCTTACATCTATAGGCATTTTATAAGAACTTATTTAATTAGGAATTCGTCAACGTGGAATTCATTCCTCATCCCAAAGGGAGATTCTATACTGAGAAACCAAAATGACACCTTCAATGCAATTGATGGGAATTACATCAAGAATGGACAAGAATCGGAGAGTTATATCATTTCTCAGGTAGGTTGGTTGGATGGTTTGGGATTGACAGTTCATTAGAACCAAGTAAGCTGTGACATATTGGATCTCGGATCTTTGATCTGAATATCTGCAATATAACTTAAATTTCTATTTTTTTATTTGCTGTAGAGGACTTTTAGTTCTTGTATGAATTTTCTTCGATTTGATGTCGTAACATGTTACTCCTTGATACTGGTGGCCCCATTTCCTGGATACTGGTTTCTACAAACCATAAGCTGAAGCAATAAAATTTGTCTTATGGTTAACTTGATTTTCCATTGCATCAGGCCGTGGGGATGTTTGATTGGAATGGCCTTAACCATATGGACTCGTGCCGGGAAACTTTTGATCCCACTTTTAGTGCAAGGAACAAGTATTCTTGGAGTAATAATTCAAAGGAAGTTCAGAAAGAGTGGAGCTGTGCTCTTTGTCTGATTAGCACTGCAAGTGAAAAATGCTTGAAGAACCACCTCCAAGGGAGGAGGCACAAGTCAAAGGAAGAACGCTTAAGGCTGGAATTAGAGGTAATGGAGACCAGGGCCAAATCTTCTTTAACCATGAGGGAGACCAGCAAGAAGATTTCGCTCAAAAACTTAAACCAAATTGAAAGGGTTGGTTTTGAATGGAGCTACCTTCTAGGCCCTGTGTTTAGATCAATCAGATGGTGCCAGTGGGAAAAGCCGGAGATTGGGTGGAGAAAATTAAATACTGATGGATCTATTAATCAAGAAAATGCTGGTTTTGGCGGTATACTTCGTGATCACAGAGGTGATGCAATATGTGGTTTTGTCTCTAAAGTTTCCCGGGATGATATCTTCATGGTTGAACTGTGGGCTGTTTGGAGAGGCCTTGTTCTTGCTTTTGGCCTTGGGAGTGAAGCACTATGGGTTGAATCTGATTCAATGAGTGTAGTGAAAACAATTAACAAAGAACAACCATATAATGCGAAGGCTAGTAGATGTTTGCAGCGCATCTGGGAACTTCTGCAGAAGTTTGAGAAATCTAAGGTCACTCATTCATGGCGCGAGACTAATAGAGCAGCTGATCATCTTGCGAAAATGGTTCTTCCACAAATAGACGTTGTCTTATGGCCTGCTGATTTCTCAGATGCCCTTCGCAATATTATTAAGGATGATGCTGAAGGAAGAATGTATCGCAGAGGGTAGTACTGACTTTGCTTAGTTTGTAAATTCGTTGTATGCAACGTTTGAAAATTGATATAGTAACAGTTAATAGTGATCCCTAGTTGGAAGATAGAAAACAGGTTTTCGTATTAGGATTCCACTCCAAACGTGTAAAGGACACTTTATTAATTTCATACTCTGAGTTACCAGGGGAATTGCTTTTTTATGGAGATATCACCGAGGGCCTCTTAGTATTAAGGTTATGTTTGGAATTCTAAGATTAAGTTTACCATTAAAGAATTTCAAAGTTATATATTCTTGACAGAAACTTGGTACATTAATTCAATATTTTACTTACTGAATTTTGTATATATATATTTTTTTTAAACATGAGTTATTTTTGTCCATTTAAAATTCTGTATTTTTATAAATATGGTAAGGTGATTTTTATGAATATTATAATATATTACGAAATTCTAATATATTATGGGACTTTAATGTATTACATAAGACTAAATTTAGCATTAGTAGTTTGACAAATTTGACACCTAACTAAACAAAATAGAATAAATTGAATAGCTTTAGGAGCATTTAGTCAAAACGTTATCAGCAGGTCAGTTCGGCGAACCCACAAAATACTTGATAAATTGGGAAGATTCCATCGGGTCATGACCCGACCCATTAGTTGGTTGACCGTCCGCGGCAGGAGGCTCTCTCAATTCAAAAGCAACGGTTAAACAAGTGATAGGCTCCGCAAGAATTTGAATTTAAAAAAAAAAAAAAAAAATTTGAGAAATAAATTAATAGCCGACATTTCACCTGTAAGAGAAACAGAGGAAGCCGACAAAGACAGAGACGATAGAGTTTCCGGGGGCTGAATTCAGTTCCACCCACCCAGAAAATGGAAGAGGAGTCATTCAATAGAAACCATCACCAGGACCTGAAAACCCCACGCACTAACTCTTGGTCTTGTACAAACAATTCCAAGAACATCCGAAGTGACTGCAGGAAATATGCTTGTGTTGAAGAGGATGGTGATGAAGCTTTGGTCGACTCAGTTCTGTGCATTCCCGGATCAAGGATAATCAAATCTGGGTTTACCATCGCCAACTGTACAGGTCTTCTTCATTCTTTTTAAAAAACTTAGGTTTCTTGAAACTTTTGAGTTCCATTTTCTTTTTAACAAGATGATAAAATTTCTGTGTTGTTTGTTTAATGTGAAAATGCATGAAGAGGCAAGGAAGGGGGAAGTCGAATCTTGATTCTATGAATTATATGGCCTGTTCTGAGCAAGAATTATATGAGGCCACTAATTTGGGATGTGATTGAGAGCATTCTCTTTTATATTCTCATTCTATTTTACATCTCAACTATCTGATAGATAGAAGTTAATCGTAATTTACATAATTTGGTTAGTTATTGAACCAATTCAACCAATCTTATTCATATTTTTAGTAACACTGATATTCTCACTTGTTCAGAAATATGCGTAAGTTAGAATTATTGATAGAATTGACTTTTTTATTCAAAATTTAAGGTATTTGTATTGTATTGTCATTTTTATTCTATCTATTAAAATTTTAACTAAAGTCAACTCTGCAGAATCTAAGAATATTTCATTGTTTTCTTTTTTATTCCAGACAATTTGGTTATTTTTATAAATGCTGGAGGTGGCTCTCTATGCAAAGAAGGAGGATACAGGAACTGTGTTCAGCCTGACAGCTCCTTCGAAGGGGGGGATGTTTTAAGAACAGATGAAAATATAATTGATGGTGGTGATATAACCTGCATTTATCAGTCAGCACGATTTGGAAGCTGTAGTTACCGGGTTCCCTTTTTGTCTCCTGGAGACTATTTGGTCGATTTTCATTTTGCTGAAATTGTGAATACAAATGGACCTAGAGGAATGAGGGTTTTTGATGTCTTTATCCAGGGAGAGAAAGTAAGCAAACTTCTCTCTCTCTCTCTCTCTCTCTTCTCATTCAATTAATCATGAGAAGTCTTATCTCAGTATAAAATGGCAGGTCTTATCCGAACTCGATATCTATTCGGTTGTCGGTTCTAACAAGCCACTACAGGTGGTGGATGTTAGAGTTTCTGTGGGGGAAAATGAGGATATGCTGATAAGATTCGCAGGAGTTTGTGGAAGTCCTATAGTTAGTGGGATCTGCATAAAACGTGCATCAGAATTACCTGGTATCTTCTCTTTTCATGTCGGTTTGCAGATCAATGGTTTTATGTAAGACAGTTCCTAAACTCATATTTTCTTTGTCAAAGTCGCTAAATTCATATGCATATTTTCTTTAAAATTGAATGAAGCATGTCAGGTGAAGCAGGAGTTTCTGATATGTAGCAACTGCACTGCTGAAATTAACATCTCATCAAGTCAGGTTAGATGGAATTTCAACATTTAGATCTTTGGGGAATATAGTTGTTAAATATAATTGGCTTCTTATTGATGCTTTATGCAGAATAAATATATGTTGACAAAATCTGCTGCCAAATATGAAAGGAAGATAACTGAGCTCAAGAGGCAGTGCCAGCAAAAAGCTGATGAATGTTATGAGGCCTGGATGTCCTTAACAAATGTGAATCAGCAGCTAGAGAAGGTCAAGACAGAACTTGACAACAATTTCTTCCAGAACATGCGTTTAGGTGAGGCAGGAACTAATTGGATTTGTAGAGGCTTTTAATTAACAGAAAAAAAATGCTCTTGGAATTCACCTTGGGTTTCTTATTTTTTGATGAATGATGTATTTTAGAGCAAGTAATGGATAAACAATCAGCTGAACTGAAGGAAATATCTACCCAATACATACGTGATAAGAAACTGTGGGCTTCTTCCATTTATGAATTACAAAAGAAAATAAAGGTAAAACATATTTACCTTGGCTGCAAATAATAAATTTTTCTTCAAAAATTTTTTAAATGTGTATTTACTAGTGTATTATATCATTTTTGCAGACCATGAAGGAAGAACACCATCAACTCTCTATTGAAGCTCATGAGTGTGCCAACTCAATACCTGCATTAAATGAGATGCTATTTGCAGTTAAAGCACTGGGTGAGTTTGCATCTGCTCTCAAAAGATTTCTATGGCCAAATTTTTTTTCCTAAAATAACTCTCTATCCTGGAACCCTATTTTAACAGTCACAAAATATGATGATCTGAAAGTGAAGTTTTGTGAAGAGCAAGCAAAGAGGAAGAAGCTGTATAATCAAGCACTAGTAGCAAAAGGCACATTTCT